CTGCATTCTAAACCTGACAAGCTCAGGGGAAGCCTGCATGACAGACCAAAAGTAACCACATAGATGGTCTGAAGTGAAAACTTCTTAACTAAAAGCGAGTGATGGCAAGTAGTCATATCCTAGGATGGTATGTTCCTTGACAAAGGTCATTCTTTACCTTAACTGAGCCTGTCTGTTGACTTGTTGCATCTAAGGTAACTTACCTGATAACGTACCTTTGAAATGTCAGAGTACTGTCCTCCTCCAGGCCCCTCAGGGCACAGCCTCCGCATCTATCACTAATGAACTCCACGGAACCCTTCGTATGCCTTCTCCTTTGATTGTAATCTATAAAATAAGGCACAAAACTGCCATTCTCTAGAGCATTTTTCTCAATCCATTGAGGTTTTGCTTCCCAGCAATTGTTGTCAATTTGGCTCAAGTAAACTCATAAAAATTCTTACAGGTTAGAAATGAACCTGAAAAGGGAGAAATGCAACTGGAGCCTGATAGGGCAATCAAAATTCTATGACAGTCAAGCGTAGGTAGATTCTTCAGACACTTGAGGGCAAAGAGGTGATGGCAGTGGAGGCTTGAGAAGCGTACACACCCCACTTAACTCCGTATAGAAACTCAAAGTAGGTGCATTGAAGACAGTCTAAGAAAGAGAATATGAGAGAGAACTAGTGAAAAAGTGGAGTAATTAGAGTTAGTTAGCGTGGAGAAAAGAAGTGTTTGAAGGCCTGAACCCATGAGAGGTCCTAGAAGATTTGTTAGGCTTAAAAATATAGCAGTGCTGACTGCATTTAGACATGCAGCAAATATCCTAATAAGCGCTCCCAAGTCGGGAAAGACTGGCTTCCTTCTCCCCGACAGTCTTTCTGACAGTCTTTCAGAACATGTACAATGTGCTTCTCTTCCTTCAGCCTTGACTTAGGAACCCTCCTGTTAAGGACTGGGTGATGGAATCAAGTGATCTGGCATAGACTGCAAGAGGTTCTTGGTGCCCTAGCCATTTTTGGCTCAGTGGTTAGAGGGTCGGCCCATGGACTGAAGGGTCCCAGGTTTGATTCTGACCAAGGGCGCATGCGTGTACCTAGGTTGCAGGCTGGATCCCCTAAAAGAAAAAAAAGGAGGTTCTTGGTGAAGAAATGACAAGAGCTCTCAGGATCGCTGAGTTCCTGGTGTACCACTGGACGTTTCCCATACCCACATCCCACCTACCTCCGACCCACATCCTCTCTTTCATTACCCAAAGCTTCCCTATTCCCTCAGTGGCCAAGTAGAGTCTGAAGCTTCCTATAGCCCTGGCCTAATTTCCTTAATGCTTCCCATTGGTCCCAGTGCATCCCTTTCCTGATGAAAAGGGCAGCCTGACAGGGTGGACAGAGCACCAGTCATGGAGAGTGTTCAGGCCCCTGAGTCTAGTATTATGTCCTCAGTTATTTCACTTGGTGATACTGAGTGGGGTACTTTCCTCCTCTAAACCCAGCTTTCCTCCTGTGGTAGGGAATGCCCCAGAATTAGGTGGTTTAGAGCTCGAGTCCTACCCAAATGTCTTTAACCTCTTCAGGAAGTCTTTGCTCTGGTCCTTGCTTTCATTTCATTTTCTCCCAACCCAAACATCTTTATCTGGGCTCTAAGTCACTGTCTTTTGTGACCACGAATTATAAGTAGTTTGTGATCTGAGGCTAGAAATTTGTCTTTCTCTGGATCCTGTTTTTTCTTCCTTTATTCTCTAAAACAAACACCCCTCCTTTGACATTCCTTTTGAAACTTTGACCTCCAATATAGACCGTAATGGTTAGCCTTTTTCATTGAGTATCCTCTGAGAACCAGGATTCTGCCCTCCCAAGTCAGCAGGAGTCAGGCTATCTGCTTTATCATTCTAAGGAAGGCCTTTGCAAGTCAAAAGTTAGGTTTCTTCCTTCTGGAGAAGGGCTGGGAAACGTGACTCTTCTATTTGCAGAAGAGGGAGGAAGAGGACACCTTTCACTGCATATGAATGGCAGTCACTCTACAAAGCTGTCAAGACAGTTAAGGTTATCTGGGCTCCCAGAGTGTCAGTGGAGTCATACGCAGTGTTGGCAGCAGGTCTGAATTCAAATCCCTCTCCCTGTGTTTAATTTTACATTGGGTGCTTAACTTCTCTGAGCCAGTTTCCTCAGTAGTTAGAGGGGAATAACTGTAACATTTTAATTGGATAGTTGTGAGGACTAAAGGAGATAATATATATTAAGCATGTGGCACTTAGTAGGTGTTCAGTTACTCCCTTTTAACCCTTACCTGTATGATAATCCACCAGCAAGCCCTGAGGCGATTGGCAGGGGGCGATAGGAAACGCCGGGAAAGGCCTCGGGATTTTCCTAGGAGTCTCTCATTCTACTCACAGCAAGAGTCAGATGGGACAAAGGAAGAAGGGGAGGGGGCGAGGGCGGACAGCCTCTGGAGGGGCCTGACAAGCATACACATATTTTCCTCTTTAACTTAGACCGAGAAAGTACAGGCTCCTATTCTGCAGGTGATGTGAAGCACAGTGCCTGGGTTTCCTGAGATAGGAGAATAAGCTCAGGGATAGGTCTCCACCACTGAGTTGATTCCGTTTTCTGCAGCATTTCAAATCCGTCACCAGATGGTGGCCAGTCTTCCTGTCATGGGTCCTGAACCTGTTGAACATGGGGGTTTCACTGTTCGTCACCTTAATGATAGCCAGCTTGTTAAGGATGAGCCAAAAGGGAAGGGGTGTAGGGCGGTAACTAATGAATCTGAATGACACTGCAATGCCTTGGGATAAATCCCTGACAGGAAGGTGATGGATGTAGCGAAATTCGAATTCCTTTCGTTTCTGGCCCAGGGTCTATGTGGGAAGATTGGTCGATGTGATTGATTGCCACGAGGGTAAGATGAATGAGGATGGAAGAGGCTTGGGAGGAGTGGGACTGTGCGCTTTTGGGGGAAGTTGACAAACTTTTCATGGAATTTCCAATTGCTCTGGGTTTCATGAGTGAAAACCTCAGATATAAACCTACAGAAAACACAGAATGACAACTTGTACAGCGTAGCAGGGGTGGTTTTGTTTCTGAAAATCCCGCCCTAAGATCATTTGGGAATGTCAGCAAGAGGAAAATGTCAAAGCATCTGGTATCTGGTTCTTTGGATGGAGATTTAGTTCGGAATAAAGGGAGAAAATCCAGGTTGTTCACTTTCCTACACAGCATCACAGCTCAGGCTTCATGACGGGTACTTTGGCATCTATGTTTATTGAAGGTTTAACCTCAAGACCAGATAATTTTGCTTTGTTTTTCTCTGAGTCATGGGGAAATAATCTTTTGGTTGCCTATTGCTTCACCACAATTTTGTGCTTAGCTAGTATCTCTTCCAATCCCCCTTCCACTCCTCTACAAACACACACATGCCACTTCCTTTCTCTGTAGCTAACTATAGTTTTTGACCTTCCTTAGAAAAAGGGAGGTAGAGGAAATGTTTCTCCTTTTCTTGACGTAGGGTAAATTTTTATGGACTTCTTGTCTCTGGTCTCTGGCATCTGTGGTAGTTTTAAATGCACCAGAGTGGACTCTCAAGGCACCTGCTTATGGTTTCTCCTGAGATGCCAACTTCCTTAATGAACATTTCACCTTCCTTTTCACTCAAAAAAAAAAACACAACTTCGTTATTTCCTGTTGGCATTTTATTCATTTATTTATTTATTTTCCCACAAAATTATTAAAAGCTTTATTTACGATTGGAATCATTCAACAAAAAAGCAAAAGCAAATGAGCCTGAAAAAAGAACTAAGCTATTGTCGAGAATGTCCTCAGAACATTCAATCCCTCGGTAGCTAAATTGCTTTCACCCCTGGCTGGCATGACAACGGTGGCTCAACAGCCTGTTGGCATTTTAAACAATAACTTACGCTTGGCCTTTGCAGAGAGGAGAGACTCCCCCAAGGCTGAGATGCTCATATTTAGGAGACCAGTGGCTCTTTTAGGGAAACTCCTCCCCCCCCAAAGATTGCCAAGGGAAGATGTAGAAGTGCAAATGAGGAATGTAGAATCCACAACTTTCCTAGTCTCTTGCCCTGGGGCCCAGGTCCTTGGTGTACAGACACCCCAGGAAGCCCAAGTTAAGAGAGTAAACACACTTTGAATATAGTCCAAGTTCAAAGGGCTTCCTTGTTCCTCAAGTTGCTTAGATTGCATTAAAATAACACCTTTTAAATCTGGGCGTCTGGGTTGTTTTTCTCTTGGCTAGGTCCTCAGTCTCAGTTTTATTATTTATTTATTATTTATTTATTATTATCAAACACTGATAACAAGGTGATTGGATAGTTCTAGTTTCTTCCTTAGCCTTGTGCATAATTGGAACACATCATTCCCTTTCTGATCCTGAGTTTTCTTTTCTTTTTTAATATATCTTTATTGATTTCAGAGAGAGGAAGGGAGAGAGAGAGAAACATCAACGATGAGAAGCCTCCTGCGCATCCCCGACTGGGGATGGAGCCCGCAACCGGGGCATATGCCCTGACCGGGAATCGAACCCAGATCGCCTGGGAGGCTGACGCTCAACCACTGAGCCACGCCCAGCCGGGCCTGATCCTGAGTTTTCCAAAGAGAGAAATAAAAGGTCTCAGCTGGATATATATTCTAGAAGCATTTATTGCAAAATAAAGTTGAGTTCCCAATCTGGGAAAATAACAAAACAGAGTCATTATACAGCTCTTTGGGGGGGCCTTTCTCTAGGGGGCTGGCAGTTGTCTGGATAAGCTGTAGTCACCTGTCCACTTACTGGGATCATTATTACTTCTCCATAGCTCCAGAGATGGTTTCTGAACTGGAAAAGTCCTCAGGTTATGTTGGGTCCTGGTTTCCCCAGGGTTGGGTGGGAAGAATTTCTCAAAAGTGCATACTCAGGTGAAAAATTCAACACCCTAAAAGCCTCCCACTAGGAAGGTATATGGTCTCTGCCCCACTCATCTGCATGAACTTTTAGCTGGTCTTTTGGAGCTAGCCACAGTAGGGGACGGCTGCTCCTTCAGGAGTCCAGACAGAACTCTTTCATTTTTTGCTTCCATCCCCTCTGATTCTCAGCAGCACAGCTAGGTTGGAGGTGGCCTGAAACTTAACAGGGAAAAGTACTTTGAAGGTCTATGTGGACATGGATCCCAAACCAAAGAAGCTGCAAAAGTACGGATACGAAGCCCGGGAAGTCACTTGTAGGAAGATGAAATGGGGTCTGTCCAAATTAGGAGGCCCAGGCTCCAATTTCAGCTCTGTCAAGAGTATGTTGTATAATCTTGAGCCTTAATTGTCCTATGTGTAGCAGATAGCAAGAGGACCATAGACCAATCCTGTGATTTTCCAATTGTTTTCCAATCTACTCTCTCCAAGAAAGAAGCTGTGTCCCCCTCCATTATCATTCACTTAAGCAAGTTCGTGTGGACTGTTATCGGGTGCTGCCCCTGCCTCGGGACCAAGTACTGCCTGGGGAGCGTGAGCAATAGTACTTGTTCACCACATGCCTACACTGGTCACACTTGACGACACAGCACCACTGGAATTTGCAGTTACAGCTGCTGATGGCCTCAGTTCTCCTCTCTTCCACCCGCAGGCCACACTCGGTGCACAGGCGCCTGCAGCTCTGTTGTTCCCACCTGGATGTGTTGTGGCTGTTCTGCAGACATTCGCGACCCTCTGTGCCATGGACACCCAGGCTGGAATTGCGGATACAGTAATCTGGTGAGTCCTCTAAAAACATCAGCTCAGCCTCCGCACTAGGAAGGAAGGCTTCATTGGGTGCCCAGCGGCCCTCGGCACTGTTCCCAGCCCTTAGCTGCCGCTTATCCATCTCAATTTTCAGTGCCCGGTCATACTTGGCCTTTAGATAGTCTCCTATCTCCCGGAGGTCAGCCAGCTGCAGCCAGCATGTCTGGATGCTACAGCTCCCTGAGATGCCGTGGCATTTGCACGTCTTTTTCATGGTGGCTCTCACTGCCTTCAGAGAGAGAGAGGGAGAGAGATGAGAGAATTGCTCTGGACAGAGAAGGTCAAATTATAGAAGAGCCTCGGAATTACTTGGGGGAGCCCATAAAAAATATTTTTTCCTGGGTCCTACTTCAGATCTTATCAGTTAGAATGTTCAAGGGTTTAAGGGCCTTGGTATCGGTGAGAGAATGGGGGTAGCCATCCCAGTCCTGATGGGTGGTGTGAGGGTGAAACATGGATAGGAGACAGCTCTTGGTAAGTTGTGAAGGGCTGTACAGATATGAAGCTGTTGCCAATACCAAGCCTGACGGCTGACTGGCCAACTCCTATACCCACCAGCCTGCCTGCCCTGTTGTTGTGAAGATTCATCAGGGCTCTGGCATCCTTTCCCTTCTCCAGGCTGTCCACAAAGAGTTTGGAGATCCTTTCCCCGAATTCCACATTGTCACTGCAGCCTCCCCAGATCCAGCCATGGCCTCCTACACATGAGAAAAGAATAAGTTCTGCATACAGTTTCCTACTAAGTTTCAGGAGAAGAGTCCTGGTCATCTTGGCTGACACAGCCAAGCCACCTCCAAGAGCCTAGAAGCATGTGAAGCTGTAGCTGAAGGTGAGACAGGAAAATGGAGGTACTTGAGGCAGGCGGGAGGAAGTTCTGTTCCCAAAGCCAACTGTCCACCCTCCAGGTACTTCCCAGATCTAGGTAATTAGTCTCCATACCCACAGTAAAATTAGGCATACTGAGGATGGCCTAGATGACCTCAAAGGTTCATCGATGGTCAAACATTCTGGAATTCTCCACTTTTATCCTACAATAGTCTTGTTAGAGTCACCTCTTCCCTCATTAGTGACAAATCTGAGTTTCTTAGGTGACAAATAATTGAGTGCTCTGGATTATGGATGAGCCATTCTAAACCTGACATAGGAGGGTCAGCTTTAAACTCTCTTTGGCTTCTTCATCATAGATTAGTTTTAGAGCTCTGTACTACATGCTGTTCCTGGAATCATGGACCCAGGCTCAACTCTCAGGAGAGTCTAGGTCCAAGAGATCCCACCCACAAAGTTGCTGTTGGAGTCTCAGGTTTTGAGGGAGCTGGAGCTGTGTCCCTCAGACTTTCCCTGGAAGGCTTTAGCTTGTATCCCTCACCTCTCACGAGAGAGCCCAGCTTACCTGTTTTTCCATTTTTTGACTCATCACAGCCGCAGTTTTCAAAGTCACCCATGCTACAGTTCTTGGTGATTGTGTGAGTGACTCCCGCAGAGCTGATAGCATGAATGAATGAAGTCTCCCTGGTGGCTTTGGAGAGAGAAAAGGGACTGGAAACTTGGACTCTGATGACCCAAATCAGAGGCTTTGGAAAAGCAATGCTGTTTCTCTCTCTTGTCCCCTGCCTGCTTTGGGTTTAAGAGGATGCCCTTCTACTTCATCTATACTTCATTCAGGCAGGAATGAGCATCCCCATGCCACAGACAGGGAAAGTAAAACCCAGAGATAAAAGGGTGCTGAGACCAAGGCCACTTTCCTCACCAGCTGTGGTGTTGGGACCAGGGCTCTTCTCTCCTGAAGTCCAGCCTAGGCCTCTGAGCATTAGCCACTGCTTTTGGTCCTCGGGCAGTGAGGACTCAGGGCCATGAGGCTGTCTTAGGAAAAACAGAAGGACCTTTTCTTCTTTCTGACGTGAAACTAGAGCCATGTAATAATCATAATGATCGTGGCTACCACTTACTGAGCTTGTATCTTATTAACTCTATAAATACTGTCCCATTTCATTTCCATACACTCCCCATTCTTTCTGTGTACCCCCCAGGAGATATTTCTTTCTGTCTTCATCTTCTTTACTTCTTTCTCCAACTCTTCTCAGGCAACTCTTTATAGTTCCTATGTAAATGCCGCAAACTACTACGCACAGTTACAAACAGCTGCACAGGTACACACACACACGCATACACCCCCCCACCGGAAGCACAGCTCAATGTGACCTCTCAGCTTCTCTGCTGTTGGGATTTTATGACAACTGGGAAGATGGGAAACTCCCTCAGGCGCTTTCCCCCCATTTTTATTTCATTCAAATCAGTGTAAAATAAGTGTGTACAAACACACAAATATAGGCATGCATTAAAAAAATAGAGTAATTTATACATTTGTATAGAAATATCTTTGTATTCACCTCATTCAAACCTTACAGTACTCCTGATCAGCTGAACAGAGCTGGCCTTATGACAAAATAACAAAATTGGGGTTGAGAGAGGGTAAGTGACTCGCTCAAGGTCACACAGCCAGGAAGTGGCAGGTCAGCAGATCATGGATAACTTTTTCATTCCACTGTGCACATATATGCTATGCACACACACACACTGCCAGCCCACCTCCATGCACACATACCTCCTTGTACAGGTGCGCAAACTTACCACCTCTCAGCCTGTTGTGAGTAGAGAGCTGGAGAGCATTTTCAGGGCAGTTCCAGCGTTCCCAAGCAAATTGGAACTTACACTCTTCAATGCCACTCTGGGCACCCAGGGCCACACTGGTAGTGTAGGTCAGATAGGCCTTGCAAAGAGAAAAGGGCCATGAGCTTCAGCCCTGGCTCAGATCAGGTCATCTGGGGTGTGGGGGGCAGGCAGGACTCAAACGGGTTAGCTCTCCATTAAGGAGCAGTCATGGGTTCCTCTGGGTGAGGGTCTTCTGGGCACTCTCTCCCCTCCCCTCTTTTCCTTCCCCACAAGAGTTCACGTAGGGAGCTGAATGGGTAAAAACAGAAGCCAGAGGCCGTCCTACCTTGGGACCTGTTATCAGGAAATTGTTCACTGACCTACCAAACGGAGAAAAATTGAGGCATTGGTGAACAGGGCTGAGAGAAGGGAGCTTCCCTGGCAGAGAGTGAGGGGTGGGGGAGAGGACTTACCAGGCAGAGGCACTGAAGGTGGCATAGCATATGCCCATAGCCACCCTGAGCATGAACAGGTCCCCCATGGCCCTGCCCACACCTAGGGGACCAGATTCAACCCAGGGACAAGTCCAGAGAAAAAGTGAAGAGAGGGCAGGGTCTTTCTCAGTATATATGTGGGGAAATTCTGAATGACCAAGGGGGGGAAATCAACAGCTCTTCCCATTTGTCCCTCACTGGCAGAGCTGCTGGAACCACTGACCCAATGGGGGACCAGGGAGGAGGGACTCAGCCCAAAGCCTCAAGGAAAGCGCCGCCCC